TTAGACGTCATTGCTGTTAGCTGCATAAAAACACATATATAACAAATTGCCGCTATTCATGAGACACACAACAACATCAAGGATCTCCGTTGTCGTCGGAGCTAAGTGCATTTTCCTAATTGTCATGTCACGAATATCTCGTTTAATTTACTTGTTCCCTCTCCTCAATATTGTTACTGCTGTTCTGACGACTCTTAGTAAATGAGAATGTCTAATGTTCATTACCTTGAAATGAACTGAAATTGCATGAAATATTAAAAATGCAGTCATACAATGATGAAATAGCACGTGCAATGTTAATACTCAATAATTGACTTGCATACAACATGATTATTTGTTGTTGTAACTGCCTGCTGCTGTTTTATCTTCATTGTCTTTGTCTTTCGTTTCATGCTTCGTTGATGCTTTTATGTCTACTGTTTTTTTTTATCAAGCTTGATTGTGAGTACGAGCGCGCATATTAAAAGATAATTTATTGTGTGCACTCAATTTAGTATGCAGCATTAAGCTTTTGTTGATGATTTTTAAGCTTGGTTTAGTTAATGCTGTAATCGATGATAAATGCTTGTTTATGCTGAATATCAGGGGCGTAGCAAGGAATTTGAAGAAGGCGCGACAAAAAAAATTTTTGGACGGAAAAATTTAAGGGGGGGGGGGGTATTTTTGTGATTTTTTCACAAAAACCCTAGCAAAATAAAGAAATTTTCGTTTACATTGGGGGATTTGTACCCCTAATCCACCTTCTGGCTCAATTTCACTGTCAATTTTGTGAAAGATTGTTAAGGGGCCGTTCACTTATGACATCCAGAGGGGGGGGGGGGGGGGGGTCAGCAATAAAAGAAAAATAGAAAATCCTGGAATTTAATTGTTCTTTTTTGAAAAATGACTTAATATTGGACGTCATAAGTGAACGATCTCTAAGGAATTGAAATGCAATTGGTGAAAATTGATTGAATTATGCTAGATGAAAAGGTTCGAATCCCTAGATTGCACTAAAAAATTTACTAAGTCATCCAAATAACGCTCTTTTTTGTACCTTAGTTTCCAAGCCTTACTAGACACTGCGTCAATATTTTCATTGATTAAAGACTTCAAAAAAATTCTTATCAACAAATTGCAAAAGTAGCAAAATTATCAACGGAATCAACTTTTTATTAAATATCTAAGATTAAGTACTGATTACGAACAATTGATTAAAATCGCATAGATTTATAGATAAAACAGAAGTGGAAATAAATCCAGAAATATAATCACTTTTAAATTGCATTATTGTTGACACAAAGAACCATGCCTTTACAAAGTATTTCAATAAACTGAGAATTAGATGCTTTCATAAAGAGGAAAGGTTTGTGTGCTATTCAGTGACTTCATTTGTTTATGTTTATTTTTAAACTTACAGATAATGTCAACTTTAATCTTTTTCGAGATATTCTGCGATAAAAACATTCATTCCAGAAATACAGATAGTTTGCTTACAGTCAAGGCTATAATGACACAATGAGACTTAAAAAAAAATTTAATAAGGTCATGAATGCACTCAAAGGCGAAATATTGGGAATTGAATCTTCATGCAGCACAAAAAAAAAGTTTTTGAAACTCAAAAAAGTCATCAAGATAATAACAATTGCTGAAGCAATATAGATACAAATATAAACATTTTAACTTAAGGATTCGAACCTTCTCTTCTTCCAGATATTCAATTCTATTTCATAATTAATATTCCAAAATTACATAAGGAAGTCCACTAAACGTAAATAGCTAGAAAATATCAATTTTTCTACTCAATATTTCATCCATCAATAAATTGCAAAGAAATTGGTAAAATAAACTTCAATGTCATGTTCATTCGCTCTTGTTGTTGCCATACTATACACAATATTTCCTTTTTTATTCCTTTCTGCTGCTTTATTTCCATTCTCAATGCCAAATGAGAGACAATAAAAAAAAAGCAAGAAATTTTTCACATTGACATGAAACAATATGTATATGTATGCATACCAATCAACAATGAATTGTTATTCTTGGTTTCTCTTGTTTCCTATTTTTTTGGAATTACAATAACATAAAAGGAAAGAAAATTTTTCCTGTGTGGGAGGGTTTCCTATAGAAAATGTTTGACGGTTTGGTTGATGGATGTGCTGATTATTGGATTGTGGGATTTTTAAGTCGTTCCAAAAGACCAGATCAGTGTCTTTTAAACTTGTGGTAACTAAACAGTGCAACAAAATGTACTTTGACATTTAAAATGTGATTAAAAAAAAGGAAATAATGTAAAAAAATAATCTTAATTGTAAAACCGTGTTCAAAAATGAAATGAGCATATTGCAGGATTCGAACTTTGTTCTTTTTACAGAAATTTACTTTAGTTTACTTTTCTAGTTTTTATTTAAATCACGTTCTGCAGAAAGTTATACAATCTATGAACAATTCAAGAACGAAGCCATTGGTGATCAGAAACATCCTTTATAATTCATGGATCACCATAAGAAGCTTCCAAATCACAACATTTAATAATCCTTACCTATCAAAAATATTTGTGCTTATTAAGCCACAACTAAAATTCCAAACTTGTTCACTACATTTGATAAATTGCCGTCAATAAATAGAATAAGGAACACCGAGAAGGCTGTAAAAATAGCAATGAACGTTCTTCTTTTTTTTCGTTCATAAAATTTTTATTTATTATTGAACTTGATTTAGTTCTGAGTTCCATATATGTTTAGAAAATATTCAAGCATGAGTAACTTAGTAAGTTCCATTGATTCTGACAGTTTCATGATCAATGACACGACGATGGTATTGAATATAAAATAAACATTGAACTTTTAAATGCTGAAGAAAAAATAGTTTGGATAGTTGTGGATAAAAATGGATTAAAGGTCGTCATTATTTATAGAATTTAAGGCTGAAGTCTATTTGCAAAATGGATTTAATGAATGAAAATTATTTCTGATGGCATTTACAAAATGTGATCTGATGGGACACAACCTTTACCGAAAGGTTCTCTTGGGGTTAGGCTGAGATTTATTTAATGTTTTTTTTTTTTTTGGAAATGTGTTCAATAAAGTTTATTATTAACTCTTATGTCATAGATTTTATGTATGTAAAATCCTCAGTTTATCGATGACCAGTTGGAAGAGAAGTTGTGCTTAATAATTTTTTTTCGGTGTGTCACTGCTGATTTTTGTGAGAAAAGTTTGTATTTTGATAAGGAAATGTGAAATTTTTTCATTTGAAATTTTATTATTCGCATTAAATGTCACTTAAGATAATTTACTAGTGCATCGTAATCGAGCGGTTTCTTATGGGGGGAGTTTAAAAATGATGTCAAGTAGAATTTATTTTTGAAGGCTGCGCCTTTCTTCTCTGAATCGTGGTTGCTTTATTCTAGGATCTATACAATTTCCATTAAGAACCCATTCCACTGACTTGTTTTAAAGACAGACGTCACAAACGAACGACCCCCTCATCATTCATACATTAAAAATCAACGTAACAACCTCAGATTTAATAAACAGTTGCTTCCTTCAATCATGAAATATCAAGTTGATTTTTTCATTGTCTAGGAAACAAAAGCCAAAAAAACAACACGAAAAACCCCCGCTTCCGAATTTCCATTGACTATAAAAATTCATTTCATTGAGTAGAACAGCAACAACAAAAAAGATAGCAAGCAGCAATAAAAATATAATTTCATTTATCAATTCCCAACTGATACTAATTTTATACGATATTTAACTCAATGTTTATCAACAAAAATAGTTCATTACGAAAAGTTTTATGTGCTTTCAAGTTTTTCATTCTCTCTCATTCTCCCAAAGGTCCCAGAAGCCATACACTTCTCATTTCTATCATATTCAACTTTTATGCACACAAAAAAGTCAAAATAAAAACTAGAGCAGATTCACACTCATTTAATACCGGCATCATGTCTATGCTATCATCACCCTTCTGCTTCATATATGCACAAATGACAACATTGTGGATTGCCCACATCTCTGTACAATAAGTCACCTCGCTTATTATTTTTTTTTTCTCTTCTCTCTTCGTGTGCCTATTACCTTAGTATGTATTAAAAAATGTACATTTGTGTTCTGTACGTTGTACACGATTAGTCTTCTGTGTATTTCGTGAGCTTAATTTATGTCTCATTTTTTTTTAAATATAAAGTGTATGTGGATACGGGAGAAAAAAAATTGAATATTAGCGGCCACTGCTAGATGTCAGCAATGAAAACTTCCATATTTAAAATTGTATGATAATCTGGTGAATTAGGCGCATTTTATAGTTCTATTGTCTAGGCTAGCTTTTGCTTCGTATAGGGTTTAGATACCCACCATACACAAATCATGATTGAAACTATTAAGCATGTAGCCATAAAGCTAAGTATCCGTTACAGATTCTTTATAAAAACATGTATCTGAAAGCTGTAGGGCGAAGGTTCGAGTCCTATCAAATATTAAATTGACTATCAACCAAAAACTTCCAGTGACATTGTTAAAAAGTATTAAACAATCCACAGATGCTTGTTGCAATTGACGACTACATACTCTCAACATAAAGATAGCTTAACAAGCTGAGTAAGCTCAAATGAGCAGCAACAGAAATTATTAATCACATGCATAAATCGAACAAATCCTTAACTTAACCTACGCAATGACATTTTGTACTTTAACATTTATGGACATGAAGGAATTAAAAAAGAAATCAAACTGTGTCCAAACAGTCGATCCAAATGTGAACAACATGCACCAAAAATCATGCTAAAAATAAGCAGCGACAGCAGTAAAGGAGCAGCAGTGAGAATAGAAAAACAATATTTTTTATATCCGTAGCAGTCAGAGAGCGAGGAAGAAGCAAAGAAAAACTAAGTACGAGGCCGAAGTGTAGTTGAGGGAAAAAAATATAATAATTTTTTTTTAAAACGCTGCTGTTTACACGGTTGTGTGTGGAGTATTTTTCATTTCATTCAGAAGTTTTAGTTCACATTTAAACTTAGACTTGAGCACACGCGCTCTGTATTGGATATTACTTTTAATATTTTCTTTTTTTGATACGATATTTTATGAAACAATCACAAGTGCCTGATTCGCGGTAAAAATAAATATTCTTTATTTCGGAACTTTAAGGATCAATTGGATTGCATTCAGTCACAGATCATAGAATGCAAACAACAACGAAAAATCTGTTCAAATAAAAGGAACCAAAAAAAAAAAGAATCTTTGGAAATAAGAAAAGTAAAGTCAGTGGATGATAATCAAAAGCAAACAGTGTCTCTCATATGATTTGTGTATCTTGTGATGCTTTGAAAGAAACGGGTCTAGTGTTGTCATTTTTATCTGTGACTAACAGATAAAAATATTGAGAAGAAAGAAGAATGAGCGAAATGTCTGGAAAATTGATAAAAAAATAATTCTTTTTCCTTTGAGGAATCTTTGTTCGGTTGGATACGGTTATCATCTTGTCTTTGAAGTCGAGACAGCTTTATTGTAGTTTGTAGACTGAGTTTTTCTATATTCTTAATTTTTTGGGAATGTTTTTCAGTTGTTTATTCCAATCTTCCTCCTAGAATCAAAAAATCTAGTTACAAACCGAGGGGAAAACAACTTGATGAGAAATTTTTATTGAAAATTTCTTACAATTTTCAATCATTTTCTCGTTGATTTCATCACAATGAGAATTTCACATCAAAAACTTTTTCCATCAAGTTGTTTTCCCCTTGGAAGAACCCCCCAAAAATCGAATCAATTTTTTAAAATTTATTCCATCCAAAAAAAAGTAAACAACTTCATTAGCCTCAAGAATAGAGAACCAAAACTTTTCAGCACAAAAATTATTGTTGATTGACTTTTGTTTATACCTGATATTATGTTTTGTTTACTTCAAATAAAATTATTTGAACAATTTGCAAGAAAAAGCACACGCAGCGTATCAAATTTTTGTTTTGAATTAACATTTCCAGACCTTTTGACTGAACAGAACTTGATAAATTGTTTTGGGTGAATGAAAAAAATTGTTTTGTTGTTCTGTTGAACATTTGGCGGATGTGCATGACACTTAAGTATAAAAAATTGGAAAAAATGTGTGAACCCGAGCAGCACAACGGAATAGACATTATAATCATGGCAATCACGTCTGTCTAAAACTGTGCTGCTCGGTGTTAGTGTCCTTGAATCAGTATTTTGTAATAAATTATTCATCAAGGCTGTTCATCAACCTAGATCACGGTTAATGATACAAATGACAGGAATGATGAATAAGGCTTGAGTCTTTAGTTTTACAAATGACTGTGGAATAAATCTATAAAGTGCCAACCGTATTGCAAATATTTCTCAAAGATAAAATTAGTGAAATATTTTCTCGGACAACACTAGTCTGGTCGATTTGTTGCATCTTCGTGTGATTGTGGAATAACTTTTGGGGTCGTTCATAAATGATGTCTCAAAAAAATATTTTTGGACACTGTTTTCTTAAAAGGAGTCTTCCTAATATTTTTCTAATGAGTGCCTATGATTGAGAACATAACCTCAAAAAAGTAGACGTCATTAGTGAATAACCCTAAATTTTCTAATCCCCTTTAATGAATCTATTAAAAATCAGTGAATTATTATATTTAATCATGCAAAAACAGCTTAAACAGTGAAGTTCCCAATAAGTAAAGCTTTAACAATCACAACTCAATAAAAATCAAGTGAAAAATTCCCCAAAAGAAATCAAAATCAAAGACAATAAAAATCAGCAGAAGCAACAAGCAGAAAAAATTAATTTCCTGCAGCACCAAAATTTCATCAAGGAGATAAAAAAAAAAAATTTCAGCATCCAATAAGGTAAGCAGAACAGCAGACATAAAAACATAGAAACGAAAATGTGGAAAATAGTAAGCACAAAAGACATATTTTAAGTTGTCATGGAAATTTTTTAAAACTCCGACTGTGACTCATCCTGGATGTAGATAGAAGAAGAAGAATTAACTAAATGTTGTTAAAAGTATGACCTAGTTTGCATCATCATTACCTTATAGAGTGCTGACATGTCAGATACCTGGGTAATGAAGAAGTAATGAGGTGATGCAGCTCTCCTTTTAAGGCGCACTATAAATAATAACAAGTTGTCGATGATCCTATAAACAGCAACAAGTTGGATAAATTGGATTGTAAGCAATTATTGTCATTATATTGAATTGTTATTGCTGAGTTTTTGTGTGCCGATGCATTGAATATACTTTAAATGTAGCTTGGAAAGAGCAACCATGTCAAGGTTTAATGTTAGCAAAAAGCAATGACTGAAGAATGAAATTTAATATTCATGTTTTTTTAGGCACTAGACTTCATGCCTAGCGTACATGTCCCAGCAAATAAGAATTTCTCATCAAAACAATTGCAAATCATTCTGTTTCCACTTGACCCCATCCTAATAAGTTACGTACCATAAAATTCAACATTATTAAAGTTTATTTACCTGAAAAATTTACATATCAGATTTTAAGCTACAAAAATCTTCGAGTATGGATGAAAAGAGTCAACATCCAAATCAATTTTCATCTTCTTTAATACGCCATGCTCAGTTTATTACTCAATATCGTTCCATACACATTCATAACTCTCATGATAAACACAATTTAAAATCACACAAGATTTTTAAAGATTTATTAGGATCAAATTAATGGCTGCTATAAAAATTCTCAGAGGAAATCAAGAACGAGTAAAAATTTTCATGCTTTACACTTTTTTCCATACCTCTGAAGAACATCACATATGTTACCGCGACGTGTACCTTAGCACAGAGAAAATATAATAAAATATGACAAGCACACAAAATACTTTTTGCGACATAAAAAGTTTTTAAAAAGTCTTTTTTGGAGACGAGAGTGATTTTATAATGGAATTCTTACCCTGCTCTTATGTTGACGGGAACTAAAGAATTTTCTTTTTCTATGAGCAACTTTTAGCATCTCTTGTCAGATTGTTTCATCGTTCTTTGTGTTTTCTGTTAAAGTTACGTGGATTTAATTTGCTTGCTAAATTTACATAAGATTTCATCAAACTCTGTGCATTTTTTTGCTGGTTTCCTATTTTGTCAAGTGACTGTCTTTGTTCAAAAGCTAGATGCTTGAGGTGCTTCATTCAGGGTTGCGATACAGGCACATGTGCACAGGTGAGAACCGTACAATTCCTTGATAATTTATAAGGTTTTTTTTACAAAACCATGCAAATTCTAATAAAACCTCACAAATTATCATGGAATTGTACGGTTCTCACAAGTACACACGTGCCTGTATCGCAACCTTGCTTTCATTCAACTTGCACTGCATGTTTTCCAACAGTTTCTTGGATATTACTTTAAGTTCTACTTCATCAACTTTCCAGAACCAAGAAAAGGATTTTGAACTGATCAAAATAATCGACAGTCAGTCGATCAGTTCCGCATTCCTGCTTCAAAATTTGCCACATTCTGAAACCAACTGAAGTTCAACTGACTGATTGCGGACAATTTTCACTTAGAGAAGCAATTTGTTGACACTTGAACACCGTTCATCTTATTCCCACTGGCATTCATGCGTAACAAATTCATAAATAATTTATGATACAAAGGACATTAATACCCAACCTCAAAAGATCCAAATGGTCTTGCTTACTGAAAGGAAATTATGTTTATGGCAAGGAACTTAATATTTACATGCAGAGTTCCATGCCCATTCGAATATATTACCCCAAAATAAGAAGAGAATGTCAAAGGCACAGAAGTGGGAATGAAAAGTGCTTGTATCTCCTGCTTCTTATGAGAATTCAAATGATTAATGTTTCTGCATAATACCTTCCGCATGCCTGCACAGTTTCAGCAACCATGGCAGATTTCTCTTTCTTATTTGACACCTAATCCTCATCTCACATGCTCTTATTTACGATTATATTCCCCAGTTTTCATAAATATGGCAAAGAATCTTAAAAGTTTGTATCTTATGGCACTTAGTATCTTTGTCGTGCATATACACATACTTAAAAAAATATTTCTTGGGATTTTTTTGGTAAAATAACTTTATTTACTCGTGATTTTATCGCATCATCAAAATTGGAATTGCCTAGATGTGTGAAAATGTATATCTGGCACTAATTCGCAGAAAATCTTGTTAAAATTACGTCGAGCACTTTCGATTAATTTTCCGGATGATTTGATTCCAATACATTTGAGTGGAAGATTAAGCATAATAAAGATTAAAGACATAAATTACACGTTTAAGCATCAAAGAAGCTATGTAGAAATCAACGATGAATTCAAAATAAACAGATCATTTGATGACAGTGGTGGAATTAAGATTTTAAATTTGAGGTTAAGGTTACCTAAGGAAGAGATATTAGTCATAAAATCAATAATTATAGATCTTGAAGTCAAGATAAGTTTTCAGTCAAAAAATCCATGTATACTAACATAATAAGTCCAAAAATGAAAGCTAGCTCCAGCTTTTACTGAATCTAACCTTTAATTACATTATTTTATTAAGCCTTGACTTTTAAGATGTTTTGATTGCAATAATGATGGAATTTCCTGGAACCGTAAAGGGGCCATTCACTTATTACGTAACGCTTTTAGGGAGAGGGGGGGGTCTAAGATTTTGTTACGGTTCAAACAAGGAAATTTTTTTTTCATACAAATTTTGTTACGAGGGGGGGGGGGTCTAAGAAGTCATTTTTTCACGTTACGTAATAAGTGAACAGTCCCAAAGTGAATCAATTTATAAACGCAAATTATGTTGTTTACCGTGTTGTGCTTTTCGCTAGAAATGTTTTGGTTTGAAGATTGAAACTTTTTGTAATAATTGATATTGATCGCATTATTTTGGCAAGTTTGTTATCATATTTTGGATTCTCATGGTTATTTGTGGACGAAAAATACAGTTTGTTTACTAAATAGTCTATCAAAAAGTAATTTCTGTGGCTGATAAGAAGGGGTGGATGAAAATATTCAGAAAAGTAATTAAGTTGTAGATTTTTGCATCCAAAACAATGTCGTTATCTACATGTCTACGCTGTATAACCTTACAGAAGCTTAAATAAGTGCCAAGCTAGAACCATACCCGAATATTCATATATATTCATTCCCATTAGCCAAAAATCTTCTTATTTTAAACAAATGACAGCAAAAATGAATTTTACAAAAAAAAACTGTGAATCTTGTGTAGATTTGTCTACATTGTCGTCCAACAAACAATTATCTGTCCGTCAAAAAGAAAATATCAAGCTAGATGTCTTGCATTTGTTATTATTTTATTTACGAAAAAAGAATTTTTTAAAAAAATGTTTATGTTGGCAAAAATATAGCGACAGGAAGGAATGGAAAGTTACAGCAATTAAGAGAAAATTTCAGGTTGGATACTCAATTTCAAAGAAATTTTTATTCTTAATCGATTGTGTATAAGATCATGTGAGATTCAGCTGACTTGAGTGGTTTTAAAAGATTGATGATCTTTAGGTTTTGTTTGTGAATAAAGGTCAGTGCCAGTTTTCGTTATTTATTATGAAATATTCTTACTTAAGACAGTTTCTTTGGGTATCTTTGAGTATCCTTTCATCTTAAAGGCCACTGAAAATCCCAAATCACATCTCAAACTTTAATTCATCCACAAATACTGCAGTTTATCAAAATAAACATTTAAAGCATCAAAGTTTCCACAAGATTTTGCCGCAAGCCGCAATTAAAATTCCTTAATTCCATTCCAATCACTAATAAATCCATAAATATATGCACACACTCCACATCAATAAAATCTCTGCTTATTCTCAAATAAAATTAATTTCCTCATAAATCCTCATTTTCATAAATCTTCAATCACGTCCCGAAATTGCCTTTAAGACAATTTAAATTTAATTTGCATCAATTTAATGACCTCAATACATTAAATTGAAAAATTACATAAAGTAATTTTAAACAGGCATGTCATTAGCTCTGTTTACTTCATAAATCTGAATTAATGAATGCTAGACACAACTGTTTGTGTCCATCTTACAATTATAAATGTACTTTTGCATTAAGTTGTTGATTCTTTTGTTTAAAAAAAATACTTTGAGATCATTTACTTTGTGGATTATTTTGGGAACGTCAGTTTAATCCAAGGGGGAAACAACGTGATGGAAAAACATCATCAATATGAATTGGTACGCTCTAGTTACTAACATCATGTGATTCCCCAACATATCTATTCTCCTATATGTATAGACAATGTCATTGGATCTAATTGAATAAAATTAAACGAAAAAAAAATTGTTCCTGTTGTGTCGCAATGCTGCAACATGAGAAAACAGCGAAGATAAAAGCTGTAAATAGAGCATTAATCAAGTATATTTTATGGTAACACGTTTAGTAATAATTTATCTACTGTGAGGCATAAATATGCACAAACATACTCATGAATATTGTTTCTGTGTCTCAAATGAAAAGCTGAGATTGCACATGAATGAAAAATTTTATTTCTCGTTGATTTATTCGAGAGCTTCCCTCGCCTGATATATTTTCTTTTATTAGTAAATGTAAATAATTCACAGAGAAGAAAATTCTCGTGCGTGAATCATGTAAAGAGAATTAGATTGTTTAAATCTTTTAAGAAGAAGGGAAAATTGATCGGAATGGTCTCTAAAATGGGTTAAATCTGCTCTTATTTTAAAGACAGTTGAAACATCGTGGTTTATGATTACTAGTTCTTGAATCGTGGTTCTAGATGTCTAGATGATACCTAGTCTAAAGCTACAATAATACAGTGAGCCACTCTTTCAAAGAAACCTATGCGACAATTCTAAAGCAACCCAACGGATAGATGAAGCGAATGTCAAACTTA